TTAAATTTTCCCAGGGAAACCTTCTTGAAAGGTATTAGATAAGAGGGGATATGAAAGTTGTGAGTGAGAACCCCAAGAGAAACAGAAATGAGGCATTGTGGAAATAGTCCTATTACTACCAAGCATTTTGTTGAGTCACTCTTCTGTGAGTGAGTTTGCTCACTCTTCTGCTGTCCAAGAGCCAGATCGAGGAGAACGTGTAAATTAGACTTCTATTATAGTATTCCACTGATGGGATTCAGGGAGACTTCAATGACCGGGAAGTTGTGACAAGATTGGAAATTTAGGAGACATTTTTTGGCACTGAGGGTCTTAGGGATGAAGACTTTCATCTAAGAATTCTATGGTAGTATGTGGACGATAGCAGGCAGGAACACTGTTGGATAGGTTAGATTAGAGGTCCCAGTTTCTTATTCATATTCTCCTTGTTATAGAATTACATGTTTTCCCATTTTCAATGTGCTTTTGCAATACCTCCCTCTGAAGTAGAAAAAGTATATTTTTCCTCCCTATTAATGTTTAAATGGTCACATGACTTTCTCTGGCCAAAGTAATGTTAGCAGACACAACTTAAGCAACAATTTTAAATGTGCATCAGAGTTTTGGATTGTTCTCTTGCACTTCTGCTATCTACCAGAAGAAGAATATGTCCTGGGTAGCTGCTAGTCCAAGGACAATGAGGAAACATGGATTACAACCTAATACCTCCCCTCAAAGAGCTGGGTCCCATGGCTAGAAATGAATGTGTGTTATGCCATTGAGATTTGGTGTTGTAAGTTATATGAAACGTTATTGTAGCATCAATCTGGCTTGTTTAGGAGAGTCAGGAAGCAGAGGTGCCTGGGTGGCTCAGTTGGTTAATCGTCTGCCTCCAGCTCAGGTCATGATCCTGGGGTCATGGGATTGAGCCCCATCTGTGGCTTCCTCTTCATCATTGCTCTCAGCACAGTGTATTACATGTTATTTCTTTATGGTCTGTCTCACCTGCCATGGATTTTTGAGGGCATGGGACTCATCTTAATCTCTTCCTTTTCTCATTGTCAAAAAATATTCATTAGTTGAAGAAATTAATGTGTTTCTCTGCTATAAGACCCTTGTGGGAGTAGAGTTTTCATAGCCTCTTCTTTTTTGCTATTTTAATGCACAGCTTCAACCAGTGGACCAGATTAACTCCTCCAGGCAGATAAATCCATGCAATGCTTCCACAGGTCAAGCTAACATATTTGAGTTTATAAAGTTAGTGAACTGAGGGTTGAAGGACACTTGGATGAGGACTCTCAGTCATTGACAAATATCTGTTCCTTTGAATTCTGAATTAAGATCACAATTACAACAGTTTTGAAGATGAGGAAGAAGGGAGACTATACAGAGCAATGGATAAATCACGGGACTTATTTTCATGGAGAAAAGCAAACCATTAAATATCTCCTCCCTACCTTTCCTTGTTTCCCAAGAGCTACATTTATTTGTGGAAACATAAACCTAAACAGAGCACTAGTTTGTCTCTCAGGAAATTGCACTCCTGCTCTCAACTACTATTTGGCATTTATTATTTAACTAATTTATATTGCTATTTATCTTTTGTGAGTATGCCTATCACTTCTACTAGATTAATAGGTGATTGAGAGCTGTAAGCCTGACTTATACACCTTTGTATGTCCCCACAGGCCCCCATGCAGTGTTTGATATAAACTAATGCTTAATAAATTTCATTAGTGGTGACAACAATAGTGATGTTTATGATGATCTCCCTCTCCTGATATGTTCATAGAGCTTGGTGGGCAGGATTGGAGGGTGGGATGGTGTGGGATGGGAAATAAAGCTAGAAAGGGAGGCAAAGTCCAGATCATGGAAAGCCTTCTATTCTATGCTAAAGACAATGGACTTGCTCCTGGAGGCAAAGGAGATCTGTTAGAAAGTCCAGTGGCCATTTTTTTAAAAAGCTGTTTGACAGCAGTATGCTCCACAAAGTTGAATTCAACATTTCAGAATCCACTAGCTGGCTTACTTCTTTGAATTTAATTGCTTTCATCTTCACACAAATATCTCATGAAAAAAACTCTACTTTTCATATAGATGATAAGACGGAAACCCTTTAAAGCAGACAGAAGGGAAAAAATAAGAGTAAAAATTATAAATAGTTATTCATATAAGTTTTAAGACACTAAGGGTAAAACACTGTATTAGATGGTATGAAGATTAAAATATAAAGATAAAACATATACAAATAATCTCTTAAGCTAATTTAGTGGGCACTCTAAGTCTAGGCAGAGGGAATAGAGAAATGTATATGATAGCCTCCTTCCTCAAAGATTATAAGCCAGTGAGGTCAACAACATTAAAAATAATTACTAAATTAAGTATTTAATTATAACTGTGGTGTGTGTCCTTAAGGAGAGTACAAGATGCCCTGAGAGAGTCTTGCAGGAAAGAGGAGGTTCAGGAGGAACTTCTAAGAGAGGCTTACTTTGAAACTGAGAACTGGAACTAGCAGGAGAGAACCAAGATTTTACCAAACAGAGAAAACAGCTTATTCAGATGCCTTAAGAAGGAAGGAGCTTGGTAGGTTTGAAGAAATAAAGGTTTAGTACAGCTGGAACAGAGTGAGCTAGGGAGGGAAAGGGGCAAGGCTGGGAGGCGGGAGCAGCAAAAGGAGGTCATTCAAATGCTTTGGGCCATTGTCAGAATTTTGGACTTTACCCCAAGAAATATAAAAGCTAGTGGAAAGTTTGAAGCAAAGGAGTAGGATAAACAGGATTTTATATATGTGTTTCTATACATATTATATATACATGCACACATATGTAAATATATATTAATATATACACACATATGTACTTTTACAAATATAGACATGCATATTACAGATCATGTATATTCACCTATTTGTTTATTTTAAGATTACTCTCTATCCAAGGAGATTAAAAGTAAATGCAGAAAAACAGCCAGAGAGACCACGGTTAAGAGACAATAGTAATTTAGACTAGGATGGAAAACGTGGGAGTTGTGAAAAGAAACTAATTCAAGAAATATTTGGAAATAGAGTCACAGAATCTCCTAGTTCACCAAACATGGCGCATGAGAAGAAACTAGATGTAAAGGATGATGTCATCTGGCATGATTAATTGAGGGGTTGGTGATGTCACTTACTGAGATAGGAAACCCTGGAGAAAGAGCAGGTTTGAATGGATGTGAAGTCCGTGGAGAACTGTTTTGTTCCTTTATTTACAGAGATCCAGAGATCCAGAGATCTAAAAGCTGATAGGAAGGATACCACAGAGAAGTAGTTACTGAAGATACAGACATAAGAGGCTGCTCAAAATAGACCAGCTCTTGACCAGTAGGAAAGCCTTCTCTCAAGAAGCTAACAACTCAGAGGGCCAGAGAAATTAAGTACATGTAATGGGGATAATGTTGCAAGTATAATTAACATGTTTTTCTCTTTTGCAATTTCATGAGTACGACCTTCTCCGAAGTTAGAATGAGGCATGCATCTGCCTTGGGGATTCCAACTAGTTCATCCAGGAAACAAAGAGGAGAAAAGGAAAATATAATATTCAGCTTCAAACATACAAAAATGGGATTTTTTTTGTCTTCAGAAAGGCAATAAATTTAAAAGCCAGGCTTTTCCAAGAAGTAAGGAGATTTTCTAGACTATTCATTCCTTCTCTTATATATTAAGAGGCAAGACTGAGGGACTGGATCTTGGAGTTTTACGTGTTCCCAGTAAGGTAAGAGGACAAAGGAGTTAAAGCTCATCACCCATAGCCAGACGGAATGTAGAAGGAAAAGAATCAGTTATAGGAAAGGCTGATTTGTAGGCTCCACAAAGGGCATGCTGAAGGTAGAAGCGATTATGGAGAAGCAAAGGGAAGACCTGAGTTCAGCCCTCCTGGGCAGCCCTCAGATGCCACTTGACAGATGCGACCACGTGCCTCCACGAGAATGCTGTGGAAGGCTGGTGAGAGTCTGACTTGAGAGTTAGCAAGAGGGCTGCTCTCTTAACAAAGAAGCACCTTGGTAGCAGAAGTCTGCAAGTTGGACTTTGTGGCCTAGGATTCATAGGCAGACTTCAGGGGGTCCCCTAAAGCCACTGAGAGCTGAAGTTGGAATCATCAGGGAAAGTAACCAGAAGAATAAAGCGGAAGTTACAGCAGTTACCATCAGCAGTTGCAAATATCAGTAGGACACTAGGGGTAAGACCCTGTGCACAGCGGGAGTGGCCAGCCGCAGGAGAAGCCCAGACCAGCCACTCTCTGCCCAGACTGGCACTCCTCCAGAGAACACTACACGGACCTAAGAGCCAGTCTCCCAAAGACAGACAAGGACACACCTAGATGCCAGTGGGGGAAGGCACTGGCATTCTGAAGGACATCTACCTAGGTCATCCAAATAGAGCAGTGGATGGTGGTCATAAGGTCAGCTACAGAAAAGAAAATAAAGAACCTAATTGTCCGTTGCATATATGAGTGTAGTGTTAGTAAACAGGAGGCCCCACCACATTTATAAAAAAACAATAGGGGCACCTGGGTGGCTCAGTTGGTTAAGTGTCTCTGCCTTGGGCTCAGGTCATGATCCCAGGGTCCTGGGATCAAGCCCCCTATCAGGCTCCCTGATCAGCGGGGAGCCTCCTTCTCCCTCTCCTGCTCCCCCTGCTCTTCGCTCTCTCAAATAAATAAATAAAATCTTAAAAAAAAAAAAAAATAATAGGATTACATCAACAATGAGAGATGCTCCTTAAGGTGTGACGCTAAAAAGCTCTAACATCCTAAAAGAGAGAACTGAGGCAATGCCGGGGACAAGTGCATTTGCTACATGCTGTGAGAGACCGGAAGGGAGAAAGTAAGCAAGAAGTAAGGAGAGAGGGGCTGCAGCTCAATATGATTTCAACAGGAAATCATAACATTTCTGCAAGTGTAGTAATTGGCTTTCATGAGCCAATAAGAGCTGGCCCCAGCATACCATCAGCTCCCCTGGTAATACCATCGCACTATGACCCAGTGAAGAGCCGTAATAGGGCATTGTCTATGCCAAACTCTCATTCAAGTGGACCCAAAAACTGGTGAGTTTCTACCTGCCCTTCTACCTGATTAACACACCTTGTGAACTTCAAAAAAACGTTACATTAACAAGTCAAATACTAGGTTGAATGAAATCACATAAATTTCATTCTACTAACCAGTCTTTCTATTTTCTTTTTATTTAAGCTAGCTTATATCCAGGAAATTGATTTCCCTTTAGCCTGAGTTTATATTGAATAAGGTAATTTTTCTTCCATTGCTCTACGAATTTCCCATTAACAAGACACTCGCAGCAATGATGGAAAAGCCCTCTGCTGGCTCACTTTTGAAAGCCAGTGTGCACGCTTTCAGGCTTTAGAGCATTCCTTTTCCCTGCTTTGCCAAGCTGAGCTAGACTGCAAATTCTGCCTTAAAAATGTCATTAAGATAAGAATGGCCTAACTGTTTCTAGGAGATTTCATTGTTAAAACATGAGACTTGTCAGCTTATAAATCATATCATACTGCATTATTCCAAGATTAGTTATAATAGCCTAAAGAAATTTTTATAAACATCAAACTCCTTAAAAATTATATTCTGAGATAAAGAAAGGGGGGTAAGTGTCTACTTGCCGGGTACATTAAATGGAATTACATTATGAAGAAAAATGAGGTCTTTGTAACACATTTTCTAAACAGCAGGGTTAAGTCAGATGCTTTTGAGAAGGAATTTGAACAGGGAAAATAATTTTAAAGGCCTTATTATTTCACTGTTATTTTAGTCTGACTCGCATATTTCTGTGCCTTGTTGCTTGTACTTTACCAATGTAGAGGATTTTTTTCCTCGCTTCTAATAGGAAAACAAACAATAGTTTATTATTCATTTAAATAACTTTTAAGATTAAAAAAAACCTGGGCAGAAAAAATAAATGTGAATACTATATTAAAATATAATTTTAGAGTCCTCTCTGGTATAACATTATGTAAGGGAAAACTGTTTTTACTCAGACAACAAATATTTATCATAATAGTGTTGTTGCATTATTCTTCCTAGAATTCAAAATTTGTAATAGTTCAAAAGATCTAGAATGTAACACTCTGATTATGTTTCCAGTCAAGGTAATTAAAAAAGGGTGTTTTCATTTTTCCTATATGAATCAGTTTTAAGTTACTCCTGATGACTTAAGGTGACTCTGTTGGGTGATTTACATTTCTTTTTTATTTAATTTAATTTATTTATTTATTTGAGAGAGAGAGCATGAGCAGGGAGGAGGGGCAGAGAGAGAGGGAGAAGTAGGCTTCCCGTGGAGCAGGTAGCCCAATGAGGAATTCGATCCCAGGACCGGATCCGGGACCCTGGGATCTTGACTTGAGCTGAAGGCAGACACTTAACCAACTGAGCCACCCAGGTGTCCCAGGTGATTTAAATTTCTAATAAGAAGGTCTTGCCTGATTATTGAGTGGATGATAGTTACTGGAATCACTTAAGTTTCTGTAGTTGCGAGTATCAGAAACTAACTCTGGCCAACTTAAGCAAAAGGGGAATTATCAGAAGGTTATGGAGATCTCACAGAACTAATAGGAAGATTAAAGAATCATGCTTAGATTTGCAATGTGTACATATATCAAATCATTGTCTTACTCCTTAACCTTACATAATAAGTCACTTATTTCTCAAAAATAAAGTTTGCGGGGGGAGGAATCATGCTTAGTGAAATGAATATTAGTTTATCACTTAAGATAAATGAGGAATTCTGAATCTCAGGAAACAAACTGAGGATTGCTGGAGTGGTGGGGGGTGGGAGGGATGGGGTGGCTGGGTGATAGACATTAGGGAGGGTATGTGCTATGGTGAGCGCTATGAATTGTGTAAGACTGATGAATCACAGACCTGTACCTCTGAAACAAATAATACATTATATGTTAAAAAAAAGAAGATAGTAGGAAGGGAAGAATGAAGGGGGGGAGATTGGAGGGGGAGACGAACCATGAGAGACTATAGACTCTGAGAAACAAACTGAGGGTTCCAGAGGGGAGGGGGGTGGGGGGATGGGTTAGCCTGGTGATGGGTATTAAAGAGGGCACTTACTGAATGGAGCACTGGGTGTTACACGCAAACAATGAATCATGGAACACTACATCAAAAACTAATGATGTAATGTATGGTGACTAACATAACATAATTAAAAAAAGATAAATGAATTCCAACTGTTTGTATTTCCTTACAAAAACTCCGCTTAAGATCTGAGGTCCCTCAAGTGACAGATTGGGTCATATGCCTAACCCTTGGTTATACAGAAAGAATTTCATGGGACACCTCAACTTCCATTACTAGTTTTCCAAGATTCCATACAATTGGGGGTATGTAATTCCCAAAAGAAAATTAGTGTCATGAGAAAGAGGGAATGGATGCTAGACAGCTAAAAAAATAAAAATAAAAATAAATAGAACAACAAAGCTTTACTACACTGCTGATTCAATTTTGTGCCATAAAACTCCATCAATACAAGAGAAAGACAGCTACTTATCTGGGTCTCAATTTCTTCTTTTGTAAAATGAGAAGAATGCATTAGAAGACTTCAAACTTCCTGCATTTCACATTTATGATGACTAATTGGGTAGACATTGCAGCTACCTTGGAAATGCTTCCATCTAGACGAAGGGATCTTTCCTGACCCTTGTGTTCTCAGACCTCACCATCCCTCCCTCTCGGATCCATTTAAGTCAGAAGACATCTGTAGCTTTTCTGGCTCTTGCACATGCCAGAACAAGCCTCCAGAACTCAGTGGATCTCACTTGGAAAACTTGAAAATCAAACATATTTTACTCCAGCATATATGAAGATAAGTTACATTGTCTGAAATACAACACTTGCTTCACTAAAGAGTAGATGTTCAGGGTAAAACATCCCAAAGTTAAGAGTAAGGTTCTTTAAATTATTTTCTAGTCAAAATGAAGTTCTAAAGTTCCTCTCACGAAAGTAAGACTTACAAAGAAAAGGCTTGGTGCTCCATCTAGAGGACATTTTGTATTTTCCAGATTAAGGGAATTGGAGGGTCCTTTAGAGATGTCTAATCATCTAAATCTTGCTGTGATAATTCTACCAACAATTTTAAAAAACATTTGAAATAAACCCATACTGCGTATCAGTGAGGAAGACATCCCTTATCTCCCAATTTCAACTGATTGTTGAAGTAATAACTTTCTCTTTATTCATGAAATATATGGATACATATTAAGAATTTAATGTGCTTGCTTACTTTTGGGAGCTTCATGGCTTAAAAAAAAAATTAGTATGATTCCTAACAACCATTTACTAGTTTTTTAATAATTTTCATCAATTATCAGAAGCTCTTATTTTTCATTTGACAGATACTCTCCCTAATTTAAAGTAATACACTGGACAAAAATATACCTTTTTCACTTGGAATTACACAGCATTTTCCCTCAAAAAGACCTGCCTGTTAAGAGAACATGCCATTTTTATGTTTAGTAACAAGAGTTTCAGTTGGTAATGCCTCACAAATATCTTCCTTTTTATGTGAAACTTCCTTTTTATGTGAAATCCAGGACCTTATTTTAGTGAAAGCAAGGTTTCCAGCGTGGATATTCACACTTAAAAGGAGCACACCCATAGCATCTATTTTCCCATAAGACTCTGAGAAAGTAAGGTCATATAGTGAAGCAAAGAAGAACGGACCAGGAATAAGAATCTGGGAGAGAATTCTGGGGTGGAGGAGTGGGGAGAGACTGGCTTATCTTGGACTGCAGCCATCTCAGTCAGGACAGTGTAGCCAACCATAGCCTGATAAGCAGAACAGAGCCCTCACGTTACTGAACCAATTGTGTTGGAGGTTAAAAACAAAACAAGCAAAAAAAAAAAAAAAACCAACTATACACCAAGTTCTGTGAGAACAGAAACAATTGCCAAGAAAATTTTGCTCTGGGGTCTGACTTGCCATACTGGTCTCATCAAAAAGTTTATCATATGTCCTGAGGGTATCCACGAGAGACAAAACAATGTATCAGAACTTCCAAGATATATAGGCCAGGGAAGTAGATTTTTTCCATAGAAGGAAAGAGCAGGGGTGGTGGAGAATTAGTCTTGATACTTTGTTCACAATTTGCTACATATTCTTGAGAATAAATGGTGGTCCTTCTAAGTCATGGGTAATGTAATAATTTGCACACAGAGATGGGTTTCTCCAAAGCAAATCTGGATGAAATTTCCTTTTAGAATTCCTTCACTGAAAGGTCGATCTTGTTTAAGTGGACCATAATATTTAAAGTTCCTATAAGTGGTCTCTATGCCCTCTCTTGCCATGCAAACAGAGTTGAGGATAACTTGCTCATTGTCACAGAGCCAGTGAGTAGCAGAACTGGGACCAGAACTCATTCACACTGGCTGACACACAGCCATCACTCTTTCTATTACAATGTAATCATTTTAAAGTACTTTAACACCAAAACCTTTATGGAACCAGTTGTCTAAATAAAGTCTTAATATCCTTGCTCGGGAAGAGGGCAACTGTTTGGATATGGCATTCTTATTTTGAAGAAGAAACAAACTAAAACTTTATAAATTGTTACAATATTTGGTTCTTTAGATTAACCTTGAAAATGTTAAGAAACACATTAAATGGTTTTTAAAAATTCACTTAGTTCTTCCCTGCCTTGTTTCAAAATAGTATCTGGGCAATATCCAATTGTGTTAAAGTCACATTGTAAAACATACTTAAGGGGTGTCTTCAGAGCCAGCATGGACCTATTCTCGAGGGTAGAGATAGAGGCCTCAGGCTCGCAGATGGAACCACCCAGAGTCCTCCCAGCCCACTGCCCCATGCTCACAGAAAGCCAGCCGCATCTGAGAACCAGCCCTGCCGGAGCTGGACAGATGGCCTTCTTTGCTGCAACCTTACCAAGGCTCCTCCTCACCAGCCTGGGAAAAGCATGAACTACAAAGTAAAGGAAGAACTATTTTTAAAAAGGAACCACTAAGAATACTAGCACTAAACAAAACTCGGATTAATTCTCAAGCTCAGCTATAAGCGTTCACTTTGCCC